TCAGGCATATATGCTATAGTCTGTGTAGGCTGTAGTGGGGCAGTTCATATGGGGTACAACACTTTAGGGTTTACTACTTGTACTCCTCATTCTGCTCAATGCATTCATTCCTCGTTTCTTATCAGTTGGGTCATTGTCTGGACTGGGCGCAACGGGGTTGATGGGATTGTTGCAAGTGAATGTTACTCGATCCCAGTAACAGGACCCTCTGTTGCGTCGAGCCATGCAGCTTATGATTGTTCCTTTTCCTTTGTCATTCGCCGTGATCAGTGCAGGGGATTGTGAAGTGCTGGCAACGGAAGGAGGCGACACAGTGGCGGAGGGCTTTGTCTGCGTCGATGGTTGTTGGCTGGAGGCGTTGCGCTGCTCGTCAGCGGCCTTGCGCTTGTAGCACTGGTTGATAGAGTGGCCAGACTTCTTGCAGTATTTGCAGAAAGATCCCTTCTTTCTGCGGTGTTCCCCTTGTGATGCTCATGTGTAGAAGACTAATTTCTCCCGTTTAACATTCTTCTCGTTGTACAGGTCGATTTCCTTCTGTTCCGAAAGAAGCGTGGAGCACAGAGTTGACTCTGATATGTTTTCTCGGGCACGAAGGAGTGACTGGCATTGTCGCCAGTCGGGGCCGAGGCCAGAGATGACCATCCAGATGAACATGTCGTCGGGGACAGTCCCACCGCATTTCTTGACTTGGTCATGTAGATTGCGGCACCGGTTGACATACAGTCCCGCTTTCTCCCCTTGCTTCATTTTACCCGAAGTCAGTTGGCTGAGTAGACGGCTCATCGTAACTGGATCTGTTGCCATGTATGAGTTGCGCAGGTGTTCCCAAGAAGCTTGCGCGGGAGCCCACTCCGTCTTATAAGGGCGAATGCCGAGCTGCTCTTCAGGTGAGAGATTGCGAAGGAGAGCGGTGTACGCGAGGAGGGATTCGTGGAAGTATTGATGCTTCTCCCGGATGGTACCTTCCGAGGGAAAAGGTAGGCTTCCGTCGTAGTACATCCAGATTTGAGCGGTTGTCGCGAGAAGCTCGAATTCGAAACTCCACGTGTAGAAACCCTTTCCGTCGAAAGGAGTTGAGGTCTTCAATTTTGAAGTCAGTACAAATTTGGTTTGCATTGAAGCAACGTCTGACTGTGAGTGCTGTGGGTTGTCTTGTGCAGGAGCTGACCCTTGACGATTGTCAAAGGTGAAGGATCTCTCGGGAGTTGACGCGGCGGTCTTCTCCAGGGAGAGGAGGTCCAGCAACGTCACGTGCATAGCTTGAGCCGTCAACGCTCATTGCTTGATGGCTTTCAAGGGCGTTGATGCGTGCGACTAGATCCTCAACGACAGCGGCGCTGACGCAGGTCACCGCTGATGGCGCGTTAGTCGTTGCTGGTGGTGGGCCCGGTGAATCTGCAGTAGCTTTTCCTTCAGGAGCCATAGTATTGCAGACTTTGAGGTGTAATGAATGACTTTATAAAGGGATTGTTCTGAGAAGAACGAGGACTTGACAGATCGTATAATCCACTCTAGCTCTCATACCATGCTGATATAACCAAGGATCCAGTGGATAGGATAGAATCTGTTAAGTCTGAGAGGAGACAATGAAGTTGTGAAAAATGAGGAATAAAGAAGAGAGAGTTTGCACTAGCAGTTGTTGGCATACATATAGGAAACCCTAATTGGGTTGTACTCTCTATAGAGTACCCCACTGCAGGCTAGACAATTATAACATTCTGACACACCCCCATAGCCAAAGTGGGGTGTAATCAACACAATGAGCAAGCAGACATAGAGCAGGAGTTCACAATAGCGAGCAAAGCTAGAGTTAATCACAGCGGGCAAGTGACGAGGAGGAGGAACTGTGGAGGGAGAGAAGATGGGAGGCAACGACTGAAGCTGCAGAGGCACGGGCACAGGAGTGGCTGACTCAGTGGCTACCGAAGCAAGGGCGACGGACTACTGGAGTAACTGGCTCCGCGGCTATAGACGAGCGGCAGGAGCAACGGACCCACTGGCGACTGGTGCAACAGGCTCACTGGCTACCGAAGCAAGGGCGACGGACTACAGGCGCTGCAGGCGACACGAGAGCTACCTTCACACAACCTCCTCCAGCTGCCCCATACCCCTCGACACACACCCCCTGCTCAAACCCTAGTTCCACTCCCACAGCACCCCCCTTTCACACACCCCTTGCTGCACCCTAAGTTCACTCACACCCCACCCCCTAGCACCACTCCGTCGACTCCCACACACCCACCCCCCTCAGCGGCAGCTGCAGCAGTGGGAGATAGAGGAGGAGGAGGAGCAGGGGGAGACCACACACCCGCCACCCCCTACTCGCCACCCCCAGACCCTAACACAGGGCAGGGCGGGACGGCGGGTAGGGAGGTTACGGGGGGGGAGGAGGAGGGGGCCGACGCGCGGCCTCCCAGGGCGCCAAAACAGGCGGCAGAAGGGGCGACACTCGCCCCCCCCCCCCCCCCCCCCCCCAGGTCGCCCCTCACGTCGCCTGTCGAGGCGACCTGAGGGGGCCGCGTGCGGCCCCCCAGGGAGCCGCGACGGGCGACGGGAAAAGAGGGGGGGGCGGGGCACGTGCCCCCGGTGAGCCGCGACAGGCGACAGAGCATGGCCGGGGCGGGGCCGGGGCAGGGTCGAGGCAGGGCCGAAAGGGGCGGCGACGGGGCCGAAAGGGGCGGCGACGGGGCCGCAAGGGGCGGCGACAGGGCCGATAGGGGCGGCGACGGGGCCGCGAAGGGGCCGCGAGGGGCGTGGAAGGGCGGCGACGGGCCGGTAGGGGCGGCAACGGGGCCGCGAAGGGGCCGCGAGGGGCCTGAAAGGTTGGCGACGGGGCCGTTAGGGGCGGCGACGGGGCCGCGAAGTGGCCGTGAGGGGTCGAGAAGGGCGGCGACGGGGCCGCGAGGTTGGCGACGGGGCCGCGAAGAGCGGCGACGGGGCCGCTAGGGGCGGCGACGGGGCCGATGGGGGCGGCGACAGGGCCGCTAAGAGCGGTGACGGGGCCGATAGGGGCGGCGACGGGGCCACTAGGGGCACGCCACGGGACGTGAAGCACACAGAGTAGCAGCCGAAGCAGTTAGGTGGGCCCACAGGCCAGGAGCGTAGATGCTCTGATAGCATGTGAAAGAACGAGGAATAAAGAAGAGAGAGTTTGCACTAGCAGCAGTTGGCATACATGTAGGAAACCCTAATTGGGTTGTACCCTCTATAGAGTACCCCATTGCAGGCTAGACAATTATAACATTCAGGCAGAAGTCTCTGTAGTGACCTTGTTGAATAATAATTGAAGGAGAACAAGATGATTGAAAGATAGGAGTACAAGAGATTAAGTAGAAATCTAGCTAGCCATGTACTCAGAGGGGTACATTTCCTTATTAACTGTATTGCATAGCTACAGTAACCGTGACTATTGCTATCCTCGACAGTTACCATGTTGCAGTGAATTAATTGTCGTGCGTTTACGGGATTGTCAAGGGTCACGACCGCTGACTTCCTCAGACGGTTGACCTTTGGGTGACCCTCGACATTCCGCATGCTCTATATGAGCTATTTCGGTACTGGTACAGTGGAACAGCTTCGGGAATGCTTTATATAACCTTTCGGTTATTCCAACGAATTCCAGCAAATTCACATACATTGTCCCGTTCGATAGAAGGTTGAAATTCAGAGCTGGTTAAAAAAAATCTGGTGAAAATCTAAAGCTACACAGGAAAACATGCTGTCTAATCGGCCCAAGGGACAAACAAAATCATGAAAATAATACTTTTAATCCGAGATCAACGTAAAAGGGCTGATTTCTGGGGGGCTGAACTTGCAATTCAACTTGACCGAGACATCATCCAATGAGAAGTATACAAATGCGTGTTATTCAATCAATCCCTAAATGCACCGAACCCACAATTTTGAACATTGTTTTATGTAGATATTTCACCACTCTTCGTGCGTCATCAATGCAAATATCTTGTTGTTTTATGTAAATTAAAAATTTTATCGATGCTATGCATTTTCTCGTTTTTTCTATGCTCTCTCGTTTGTACATTGCGTATTTCCCTTACAGATAGCAGGAGCCCGCTACAGCGAGTACGGCGGTCTGTTGTCCGCAGGGTGGGTTGCGGCAGTTGAGGACGCGTCCCCTCAACGCCGAACCTGTAATGGATCCTACGAAGGGTCGTTTGTTGGCATGGTTGAGAAGGCTTCTAGAAGCTGTTAATGCAATGCGAGAGTTTTTTGTGCGGTAAAGCGTCGTTCCCTCGATCAATCGCAGGTTCGGCGTTGAGGTGAAGCGTCGAGGTTCGTTTTGAGGCTGTTGGGTCCTGATGTGACTCGCGAAACCCATTCTTATTCGGATTTTCCAATGTGGTAACATTTGGCAAACAAAAATGAACGCGCTGGACGGGACCCGAGTTTAACAGAGAGAGGAGTTTGTGCTGTTTCTTGTGCAACCAGAGTTGCTCGCGTTTGTGTACACAGAAATAGCTGAGGCAAACTTCGCAAGCCCTCTGTTTTTCCGTGTCGTCGTTACTACTCGCTCGCTCGCCTCTCTTAGCAGTTTTATTCATGACTGGGAATTCACGTTAGTTGCCACGTGAATTGACGTTACAGTCATGGGTCCGGGGCGAGGGAAGAAATCACACAGCGGAGGGTCTAAAGGGCGGCTGGCATTTTCTGCTAGCGGGGCGGCAAAAGGTGGCGACCGGACACGTGGCTTCGAGGTATTGGTTGACGACTTGCCAGGGTCTCTAGGACTGTCAACGAGCGGGGGAGAAGTCAGAGGAAGGGAGGAGGCGAGGGGAGGCGACGCGCAGTCCCATGGGGGTTCAGTAGGCAAAAGAATAGAGGGCGGAACGATGCGCGGGGGAGGGAATGGGCGGGGGAAAGATAGAGGGAGAGGGAGGGGGAGCGCGGGTGGAGACGAGAGGGGCAGGGAGAGGAAGTTTCAGGGGAATATCGCGGGACACTTAAGTGCTGGCGGAGCGGAGGCTTTCGGGCCTGGGAGGAGCATGGGTGGGGAGAAGGGCGGAAGGGGTTTGAACGGGGAAGGAGGGTTCGAGAAGGGAAAGGGTTTTGGGGGGGTTCAGGGGAGAGTGTCGGATAGTTCCGGTTTTGGTAGATTTGCAAAGAACGAAGAGGAGGAGGAGGACGAGGAGGAGGAGGGAGAGGTGGAGGAGGAGGAGGAAGAGGAGGAGGAGGAGGAGGAGGAGGAGGAGGAGGAGGAGGAGGAGGAGGAGGAGGAGGAGGAGGAGGAAGAAGAGGAGGAGGAGGAGGAACAGGGGCTGGCGGGGGAAGAGGGGGAGGTGGAAAGTGGAAGTGAGGAGGAGGGAGAAGATTCGGAGGAGCAGAGCGACGCAGAGGATGAGCTGGTAAGCTGAGCCCGAGTCCCCTCTCCCCTCTCCCCTCTCCCCTCTCCCATCTCCCCTCTCCCCTCTCCCCTCCCCTCTCCCATCTCCCCTCTCCCCTCTCCCCTCTCCCCCCTCCCCTCTGCCCTATTCCCTCGCCCCTCTACCTTCTCTCTCCCCTCTCCCATCTACTCTCTCCCCTGTTCTTGCTCCCCTATCAGGCGCACCAGCAGCAGCAGCAGCAGCAGCAGCAGCAAGCACACGCAACCTCTGAGGAGAGTCAGCTCATGAGAAGAGAAGCCACGAGCGGGCCGCATTGTCCTTCACGCCTCTCACTTTTCTTGCTCCTCTTTTCCTCCTCTCTCTTCCCTCTCCCTTTTCCTTACACCCTTTTCTTTTCTCTCCCTTTCCCATTCCCCTTACTCCCCTATCACCACCCCTGCAGCAGCAACTAGCGGATGTGCCTTCTGAGAATATTCATTGAGCAAGAAGCCGGGGATGGGTTAGAATGTTTTTCACGCCTCTCACTTTCCTTTCTCCTCTTCGCCTCTCCCCTCTCCTTTTTCCTTAAAATCGGAGTCTCACAGGTTTCGAAGTTAGGAAGATTGGTTGGGGAAAGAGCGGCAACTGGCTCGCGAGATAGGAACCCAAGGGTCATTGAGTGATATAGTGGTCGCGAGAGTTACCAGATCTCGAATGCAACTCGTGAACCCCTTCGCGTCGCATTTCGGTTCAGCGGATTTTTTTTGGGCGAAATCGTTACGGCTGTCGTCGTTGCCAGTACAGTAATTTTTGGGTAGCGAAAACCGTTCCCACAATTCGCGAAGTTGACAAATTTCTACAAGGTTATTCCCAACCAAAGTTAGGAAGGTTGAGGCAGTTTTGGGCTGTTTGGGACTCCGGTTTTAATCCCCCTCCTGTTCCCCCTTGCCCACCTCAGTCGCGCCTGCAGCAGCAGCTAGCAGACGTGCCCTTTGAGGAGATCCAGCAAATGAGAAGCCGCGGGTGGGCTGCTGCCCCTCTGAGAGGGACCGGGGACCTTGGTGGGGTCGGGGGGAGAAGTCAGGCCGGCATTGGTGCTGGTGCTGATTCTGTCTCTAGTGATGGTGACGATGGGGATTGTGGCGAAGCTGGGAGGGGGAAAGGAGGGGATAGAGGGAAGGGAGTGAGAGGGGGAGGAGCAGGAGGGGAGGCAGGAGCAGAGGGCAGCAGTGGGGGAGCAGCGGGGGTGGTGGGGCTGAAGCGCATGAAAGTGCTGGCAGAGGCGGTGCGGCGCCGGGCCAACAAGAACCGACCCATGGAGCTTCCAGCTAAGAAGCCCGTGCCGCGGCTGAGACAAGTGGTGGACGCCCCTAGGAAGGTGAGATCTATAGCTGCAGTAATGCTGGTGTGCGTGTGTTTATGCTGTGAGGTCTTCATGTCTCCCCATTTCTCCCCATCTCCCCCAATCCAAACCCCCATCCTCCTCTATCTCCCCCAGTCCCCCCCCATCTCCTTCATTCCCCCCACCTCCCCCAATTCCCGCGCATCCCCCCAGATCCAAATCTAGGCTTGCAGGTTGTTTGGGACCCGTGCCTGCGCTGAGATTTTAAAATGCAGGCCATTCCCCTCCCCACCAATCTCCCGCCAACCTCCCCTAAACGCAACGCATCAATCTCTCTTTTATTCGCCCCCATTCTTTTCCTCTCCCCCTTTCCATTCTCGCCCAGTCACTCTCATTTTTCGACAATCTGCCTCAATCTCCCCCCATTTCCCACGTCTTCCCTCCCCCCCCTCCCCCCCATCAGCCCCGTCACCTGCAGGTTGTTCAAGATCCGTGCTTTGAGTCGCTCTGTGGGACGACTTTTTAGGCGACTCAAAAGACGACTCAAAAGTCTTCCCTCCCACACCAATCCGCCCCTTCCCCGCAGGTTGTTCGAGACCCGCGCTTTGAGTCGCTCTGTGGGGAGTACGACGAAGGCAGGTGGGCAGTGGGGGGGAAGGGAAGGGACAGGGGGGAGTACGACGAAGGCAGGTGGGCACTGAGAGAGAGGGAGAGAGTGGGAGTGGGGCCCCAAGAAGGATCGGGTGGGGGACGATTTTTGAGTCGACTCATCACAGTGGGAGTGGGAGTGGGAGTGGGAGTGGGAGTGGGAGTGGGAGTGGGAGTGGGAGTGGGAGTGGGAGTGGGAGTGGGGGCCCAAGAAGGATCGGGTGGGGTGGGGGACGAGGGCAAAGGAGAAAGGTAGGGATGGGCATTTGGCCTGGACGGGTCGGGTTACCCGACCCAACCCGCCTAAAATGGCGGGTCGGGTCAGGAATGCTGAGAATGTCGACCCGTCCGGGTCGGGTCGGGTTTACCCGGGCGGGTCGGGTCGACCCGTGACCCGTCAATGTGATTTATAGACGGGTATCAGTGACCCGCCGGGTCGGGTTGACCCGTCCCGTCCGGGTCGCATACCCAGTCAAATGACAGGGTTACCCGACCCGTTCTCTGCTTAGGGTACAATTTGGAGAGGGGGAGAACATCAGTTGGTTTTGATGTTTTGTTTCCCTCGACATTCAGATCTAGTCTCTAATCAAGTTAGTAAATCTCCACTGCACCTACCAAAACTCTTACAGTCTTGACTTCAATGTTAGCACTATTTTAATATTTATATTCATTATAGGCATAGGCGCTCCTGCCTTTCCCAGTGTCGCACGACCAGGGGCGCAGCAGCGCACTCGCGGCCACGCATTGGCGGGATCGTGTCCCCGCAATAGCGCGATCGCGGCCCCGCATATGCGCGATCGCGGCACCACATTAGGGCAGCGCGATCGCGGCCACGCATTAGCGGGATCGCATCCCCGCAATAGCGCGATAGCGGCCTTGCAGTAGCGCGAACGCCACCAGCCAGAATCGCGGTCCCCACCTCCAGCATCGCGAACGCCACCTGGAGCAGCGCCAAGGCGCCACCATACCCTGCTGCTATGTAGCATATTTTGATCCGACCTGACCCGACCCGTGGTGTAACCGACCCGGTTACGGGTCACAAATACCCGTTCCAACGGGGCGGGTCGGGTCACCAAAACAGAGTCAAACCCGACCCGCTAACCCGACCCGACCCGACCCGTTAAGCTAACGGGTCGCCCTAAACGGGACGGGTCGGGCCGGGTCGGGCCAGATGCCCATGCCTAGAGAAAGGGGACCTTTTGTGGAGATAGGGGGAGATAGTTCATGCACAGTTCCCAACCTCCCTCATGTCACCTTGTGACTCGACTCAATAATAAACGCAACTGCCTTCCTTAGTTCCTCATTGCCCATCTCAAATATTGATGACTCTCCTTTTTCTCGCTCTTTTTCTCGGCGTTTCGTTGTTGTAATAGCTGCTATAATTTCGTACTGTTTCCGTTCTATCCTCTTTATTACCAGGTTCAAATCTGCTTACAAGTTCCTCTTTGCAGAAACACTTCCCAAGGAGAAAGAGGCAAGTTAAGGTTACGATGATGTACATTAGAGGGGAAAGGAGAAAGGGAACCGTTCTTAACCGCTTACTGTGCATAAGAGCAATGCTGCTGTTGTGCTGTGCCTGTGAGAGTATGTCACTTGTTGGTTGGAGCACCCCCTGGATTATGAAGTACCCCCCTCTTGCTCCTGCTCCTCCCTGTCGCCCTTACTCAATCCCCTCCTTGCTGCAACACCTGCACCATGGTCTTTCCTTTTTCTAAATCCCCACTGAATTTCTGCCACTCGCAATGCTCCCCAACCTGCTCACATCGCCCCCTCGCCTGCACCCACCCCTCCTTGCCTGCACCTACCCCTCCTTGCTGCTACACCATCACATCACCAGGAGGTGCAGATGCAGCTGAAGAGGGCAAAGGACGAGGAGGAGCGGAAGAAGATCAAGCGGCGACTCGCACAAATTGTAAGCTACTGTGCTCGTCTCGTCGGTGCATACTGTTTTGAGGCGCGGCGCCTCAAAAGCCGGATCACTTGGATTGTGTGCCTTGCAGATTGTGTGCCTTGCAGATTGTGTGCCTTGCAGATTGTGTGCCTTGCAGATTGTGTGCCTTGCAGATTGTGTGCCTTGCAGATTGTGTGCCTTGCAGATTGTGTGCCTTGCAGATTGTGTGCCTTGCAGATTGTGTGCCTTGCGCGTCCACGCATGCTGTTTCAGATCCTGACTTCGTTTCTACTTCTCTCAGAGTTCCAATGCGCGGAATTCATCTAGAAAAATTGCTCGTCCATCCGTCCGTCCTGTGGTCGAAACCATTCGCCTCTCTAGTCTCCCTGCTCCGTTCTTTCTCGCTGTCTCTAGTTTCTCTCATTTCGAGTCTGTAGCCCCCTTCGCTTGGTTCGCTCTTGTTCACTCCCTTGCCCTCCCTTTCACGCTGCCTCTCTTGGTCTGCTTTCGGCTATGATTGCCCTGCCTTTCAACAAATGCACACCCATCTCTGCTGCACCAGCTTTTTCTTGTTGTCCACGCCCCTATTTTTCTCTCTCTTACCCCTCATATCCTCTCTCTGCCCTTCAGACCCCGCCCGCACCCCCTCTCTCTGCCCCTCGCACACATCTCATGCCCTCTCCTTGCCCTCACACCCCTCATGCCTCTCTCTGACCCTCACCCACACCCTGGTGTTCTGTTCCACAGGAGCAGTCATTGAAGAGTGAGAGCCAGAGGCAGAAGAAGGTGGGGAGGGAGATGGAGCTGAAGCGGCAGGAGAGAGAGGCTGTAAAGGCGGGCAAGAAACCGTTCTACCAGACCAAATGTACGTGCTTGTGTGATTGTGTGCTGGTGTGCGAAAGAGATGACTTTTGAGCAAACTTAAAAGTCATTGTAGCAGCAGGAGAGAGAGGCGGTGAAGGGGGCCATGAAACCATTCTACCAGACCAAATGTACGTGTTGGTGTGCTTGTGTGCTGGTGTGCTTGTGTGCTGGTCTGTTTGTGTGCTTGTGTGCTGGTCTGTTTGTGTGCTTGTGTGCTGGTCTGTTTGTGTGCTTGTGTGCTGGTCTGTTTGTGTGCATGTGTGCTGGTCTGTGTGTGTGCTTGTGTGCTGGTCTGTTTGTGTGCATGTGTGCTGGTCTGTTTGTGTGCATGTGTGCTGGTCTGTTTGTGTGCTTGTGTGCTGGTCTGTTTGTGTGCTTGTGTGCTGGTCTGTTTGTGTGCATGTGTGCTGGTCTGTTTGTGTGCTTGTGTGCTGGTCTGTTTGTGTGCATGTGTGCTGGTCTGTTTGTGTGCATGTGTGCTGGTCTGTTTGTGTGCTTGTGTGCTGGTCTGTTTGTGTGCATGTGTGCTGGTCTGTTTGTGTGCTTGTGTGCTGGTCTGTTTGTGTGCATGTGTGCTGGTCTGTGTGTGTGCTTGTGTGCTGGTCTGTTTGTGTGCATGTGTGCTGGTCTGTTTGTGTGCATGTGTGCTGGTCTGTTTGTGTGCTTGTGTGCTGGTCTGTTTGTGTGCTTGTGTGCTGGTCTGTTTGTGTGCATGTGTGCTGGTCTGTTTGTGTGCATGTGTGCTGGTCTGTGTGTGTGCTTGTGTGCTGGTCTGTGTGTGTGCATGTGTGCTGGTCTGTTTGTGTGCATGTGTGCTGGTCTGTTTGTGTGCTAGTCTGTTTGTGTGCATGTGTGCTGGTCTGTTTGTGTGCATGTGTGCTGGTCTGTTTGTGTGCATGTGTGCTGGTCTGTTTGTGTGCATGTGTGCTGGTCTTTTTGTGTGCATGTGTGCTGGTCTGTTTGTGTGCTTGTGTGCTGGTCTGTTTGTGTGCTTGTGTGCTGGTCTGTTTGTGTGCATGTGCGCTGGTCTGTTTGTGTGCTTGTGTGCTGGTCTGTTTGTGTGCATGTGTGCTGGTCTGTTTGTGTGCTTGGGTGCTGGTCTGTTTGTGTGCTTGTGTGCTGGTCTGTTTGTGTGCTTGTGTGCTGGTCTGTTTGTGTGCTTGTGTGCTGGTCTGTTTGTGTGCTTGTGTGCTGGTCTGTTTGTGTGCTTGTGTGCTGGTCTGTTTGTGTGCATGTGTGCTGGTTTGTTTGTGTGCTTGTGTGCTGGTCTGTTTGTGTGCATGTGTGCTGGTCTGTTTGTGTGCATGTGTGCTGGTCTGTGTGTGTGCTTGTGTGCTGGTCTGTGTGTGTGCATGTGTGCTGGTCTGTTTGTGTGCATGTGTGCTGGTCTGTTTGTGTGCTAGTCTGTTTGTGTGCATGTGTGCTGGTCTGTTTGTGTGCATGTGTGCTGGTCTGTTTGTGTGCTTGGGTGCTGGTCTGTTTGTGTGCTTGTGTGCTGGTCTGTTTGTGTGCTTGTGTGCTGGTCTGTTTGTGTGCTTGTGTGCTGGTCTGTTTGTGTGCTTGTGTGCTGGTCTGTTTGTGTGCTTGTGTGCTGGTCTGTTTGTGTGCATGTGTGCTGGTTTGTTTGTGTGCTTGTGTGCTGGTCTGTTTGTGCGCTTGTGTGCTGGTCTGTTTGTGTGCTTGTGTGCTGGTCTGTTTGTGTGCATGTCTGCTGGTCTGTTTGTGTGCATGTGTGCTGGTCTGTTTGTGTGCATGTGTGCTGGTCTGTTTGTGTGCATGTGTGCTGGTCTGTTTGTGTGCATGTGTGCTGGTCTTTTTGTGTGCATGTGTGCTGGTCTGTTTGTGTGCTTGTGTGCTGGTCTGTTTGTGTGCTTGTGTGCTGGTCTGTTTGTGTGCATGTGTGCTGGTCTGTTTGTGTGCTTGTGTGCTGGTCTGTTTGTGTGCATGTGTGCTGGTCTGTTTGTGTGCTTGGGTGCTGGTCTGTTTGTGTGCTTGTGTGCTGGTCTGTTTGTGTGCTTGTGTGCTGGTCTGTTTGTGTGCTTGTGTGCTGGTCTGTTTGTGTGCTTGTGTGCTGGTCTGTTTGTGTGCTTGTGTGCTGGTCTGTTTGTGTGCATGTGTGCTGGTTTGTTTGTGTGCTTGTGTGCTGGTCTGTTTGTGCGCTTGTGTGCTGGTCTGTTTGTGTGCTTGTGTGCTGGTCTGTTTGTGTGCATGTCTGCTGGTCTGTTTGTGTGCATGTGTGCTGGTCTGTTCGTGTGCATGTGTGCTGGTCTGTTTGTGTGCTTGTGTGCTGGTCTGTTTGTGTGCTTGTGTGCTGGTGTGTTTTTGTGCATGTGTGCTGGTCTGTTTGTGTGCATGTGTGCTGGTCTGTTTGTGTGCTAATGTGCTGGTCTGTTTGTGTGCATGTGTGCTGGTCTTTTTGTGTGCATGTGTGCTGGTCTGTTTGTGTGCATGTGTGCTGGTCTGTTTGTGTGCATGTGTGCTGGTCTGTTTGTGTGCATGTGTGCTGGTCTGTTTGTGTGCATGTGTGCTGGTCTTTTTGTGGGCATGTGTGCTGGTCTGTTCGTGTGCTTGTGTGCTGGTCTGTTTGTGTGCTTGTGTGCTGGTCTGTTTGTGTGCATGTGTGCTGGTCTGTATGTGTGCATGTGTGCTGGTCTGTTTGTGTGCATGTGTGCTGGTCTGTTTGTGTGCTTGTGTGCTGGTCTGTGTGTGTGCTTGTGTGCTGGTCTGTTTGTGCGCATGTGTGCTGGTCTGTTTGTGTGCATGTGTGCTGGTCTGTTTGTGTGCTGGTCTGTTTGTGTGCATGTGTGCTGGTCTGTTTGTGTGCATGTGTGCTGGTCTGTATGTGTGCATGTGTGCTGGTCTGTTTGTGTGCATGTGTGCTGGTCTGTTTGTGTGCTTGTGTGCTGGTCTGTGTGTGTGCTTGTGTGCTGGTCTGTTTGTGCGCATGTGTGCTGGTCTGTTTGTGTGCATGTGTGCTGGTCTGTTCGTGTGCTTGTGTGCTGGTCTATTTGTGTGCATGTGTGCTGGTCTGTTTGTGTGCATCTGTGCTGGTCTGTTTGTGTGCTTGTGTGCTGGTCAGTTTGTGTGCATGTGTGCTGGTCTGTTTGTGTGCATTGTGCTGGTCTGTTTGTGTGCATGTGTGCTGGTCTGTTTGTGTGCATGTGTGCTGGTCTTTTTGTGTGCATGTGTGCTGGTCTGTTTGTGTGCCTGTGTGCTGGTCAGTTTGTGTGCATGTGTGCTGGTCTGTGTGTGTGCTTGTGTGCTGGTCTGTTTGTGTGCATGTGTGCTGGTCTGTTTGTGTGCATGTGTGCTGGTCTGTTTGTGTGCATGTGTGCTGGTCTGTTTGTGTGCATATGTGCTGGTCTGTTTGTGTGCTTGTGTGCTGGTCTGTGTGTGTGCTTGTGTGCTGGTCTGTTTGTGCGCATGTGTGCTGGTCTGTTTGTGTGCATGTGTGCTGGTCTGTTCGTGTGCTTGTGTGCTGGTCTATTTGTGTGCATGTGTGCTGGTCTGTTTGTGTGCATCTGTGCTGGTCTGTTTGTGTGCTTGTGTGCTGGTCAGTTTGTGTGCATGTGTGCTGGTCTGTTTGTGTGCATTGTGCTGGTCTGTTTGTGTGCATGTGTGCTGGTCTGTTTGTGTGCATGTGTGCTGGTCTTTTTGTGTGCATGTGTGCTGGTCTGTTTGTGTGCCTGTGTGCTGGTCTGTTTGTGTGCTTGTGTGCTGGTCTGTTTGTGTGCTTGTGTGCTGGTCTGTTTGTGTGCTTGTGTGCTGGTCTGTGTGTGTGCTTGTGTGCTGGTCTGTTTGTGCGCATGTGTGCTGGTCTGTTTGTGTGCTTGTGTGCTGGTCTGTTTGTGTGCTTGTGTGCTGGTCTGTTTGTGTGCTTGTGTGCTGGTCAGTTTGTGTGCATGTGTGCTGGTCTGTTTGTGTGCATGTGTGCTAGTCTGTTTGTGTGCTTGTGTGCTGGTCTGTTTGTGTGCATGTGTGCTGGTCTGTTTGTGTGCTTGTGTGCTGGGCTGTTTGTGTGCATGTGTGCTGGTCTGTTTGTGTGCTGGTCTGTTTGTGTGCATGTGTGCTAGTCTGTTTGTGTCCTTGTGTGCTTGTCTGTTTGTGTGCATGTGTGCTGGTCTGTTTGTGTGCTTGTGTGCTGGTCTGTTTGTGTGCTTGTGTGCTGGTCTGTTTGTGTGCTTGTGTGCTGGTCTGTTTGTGTGCATGTGTGCTGGTCTGTTTGTGTGCTTGTGTGCTGGTCTGTTTGTGTGCTTGTGTGCTGGTCTGTTTGTGTGCTTGTGTTCTGGTCTGTTTGTGTGCTGGTGTGCTGGTCTGTTTGTGTGCTTGTGTTTTTCTGTGCTCGTCATCTCGTTTTTTGTGTGCTTGTGTTTTTCTGTGCTCGTTTTCTCGTTTTTTGTGTGCTTGTGTTTTGCTGTGCTCGTTTTCTTGTGTACTTGTGTGTTTGTGGGCGAGAGAGTGTGGCCGGGGGGAGGGCGCAATGTGCTTGCCCGTACCCATGCATCACATCAATCATCCCAGCAATTCAACACTGTGCTCCCATCGGACATGCATTGCTGACCCTAAGCTTCCAGTGAGTAGAGTGGCGTGCGAAGAACTAAATTCCACCTCCCTCGACGACCCTCTCATTAGCTCACACCCCCCACAGCTCACGCCACACGGCCCTCCTCCCTTGATAGCCATCCCACCTCCCCTCCCTGCTCCAGCCCACCCACCCTGCGCCCTACCTCTAACAACACGCCCTCCTCTACCCCCGACCCCAACACCCCTCTTGTCTTTGCTTGCCTCGCATCCCCTTTCGACTTGCGCTGGCATCCCCTTTCGACTTGCTCTGGCATCCGGCATTGCGTGCGGTGTGGTGCGGTGCGGGTGCTGTGTGGTCATGTGGTGTAATGTTTCTCTGCAGCGTCTCGCCGGCGTGAAGAGCTGTACGAGAAGTACCAAGAGCTCAAGGTGAGCCCGTTGACATCCATCACATGCTCAGTACAGCACACAAAGCATGGGGTTGGGGTTGTACTGAACAACTCAAAGGAACCTTCTCACAAACGATAAACAATGCTGCTGTTTTTGTTTTTGTTTGTTTTTTTCCATTGGCATTACTTTCTGCTCTGGGATCATTAAATGAGCGTCGCTTCCACGGTCTTATGTCTCTTCGTAGCCAAACTGGTTGTTTCCAACCTCCTTTAATATATTCGTCCCTCGCCTTTTTCTTGTGTGTGTGTGTGTTGCAGGCGGGCGGCAAGCTCGACTCATTTATGGCGAAGAAGAGGAAGAGAAATGCAGCGAGGGAGCACACCAAGGTGCCGTTCCGCCGAGAGCATTAGCAGGCTGAGTGCACATGAAGAATAATCAAGGAATTGTGGTTGGTGATGCGTAAGGGGCATTCAAATCATCACGCACACTTGGAATGTTAAAAAAAAAGCCAATTAGCATGACTTAGAAGAGTTGGGATAGGACTGGTTGAGAAAACGCAGGGTCCTCCCAAGTGTAGTGTTTTGAATCATAGGTTCTGCTTTGCTACTGAGATATGCAATGCACTTTCATAGAGGCCTCTGAGGTGAGGACGCAGATGCATGAAGGAGCGAAGGTCTTGAATTCTAATTCATTCCACTACCAAACAAGCATACAGTATATAATTATCTCCACAGCATGGAAAACAGAAACACATTATCTACTACTAAACGCCAACCAGAATAATATATTTGTTTAAATTTCTATGCCCCTTTTATTCATTTTTCATAGCGACTGTAATGCACATGACGATTTTGCTCATGTAGGTGTTTCGAATCTCGGTAAGACAAATAGGGACTCAGAAGCGACAAACGTGCCTACTAGGAGGCGGCTATTCCGAGTGACAGTTGCGACTAGAAACCTGAGTGACTACTGTACCCAGATTAGGGTTCGAGCACCCAATATATATTCACCACCGATCTGTAACCGTCCGTATTCTCTCTGCAACTTACAGAACCAGCTTTAACCCAGCGTGCAAGGAACGTGATCCTTACGAAGTGTCGTCACGCCTAATGAAACCAGATCCGACGAGACTAGCCAGCCACTTTGTGCCAGTCGCCGCGTAATACCCCACTTCCACATCCATGTCTAGACTGGCCAAGTCAACTACAGAGCTCCCTCGTAACCCAATGTTACACTAAGTCCTTATCTCGCTGTTTTCGCCGGTTTGACGTTTGTTTCCAATGGTGGCAAATGGCGGGGAAAAGAAGGGACGCGAGAGAACAGCGGGGAGCGGGAACCGGAGCGAGGAGGGGGAGGAGGATGGGAGAAACGAGCCGGAGAGGAACGATTCGGGGGAGGTAGAGCAGGCAGGAGGGTTGGACGCGGCGTCGGGAGAGGACGAAGGTGGAGGAGGAGAGGACGGAGGGGAGGAATACGCGGACGGGAAAGAGGCGGACGGGGAGGAAGCGGAGTACGAAAATGCTGACGGAAAATTAGACGGCGACGGAGGCAAGGAAGACGAGGAGGAAGAGGAAGACGGGAAGGAGGACGATGACGAAGACGGAGACGGAGAAGAGAACGCAGAGGACGACGAGGAAGAGGAGGAGGAAGACGTAGAGGAGGATGAGGAGGAGGATGAGGAGGAGTGCGACGATCAGTCGCCCGTGGAGGAGGTCGCACTGACGGTGGCGACGTTTGACGACCCGTCGCTGCCGTGCCTGACGTGGCGCGTCGTAATCATTGGCAGTATCGTGTGCGCGCTGCTCGCCTTCATCAACCAATATTTCTGGTTCAGGTGGGCCGTGCTTCTGCTTCAGGTGCGGGCTGCTTCAGGTGGGCGCGGCTTCAGGTGGGGGCTGCTTCAGGTGCGGGTTGCTTCAGGTGCGCGCCTGGACAAACCAAGTCGTAAAAGAGAAGCTTCATGCAAAGCAGTGCTCCTGGTTTCGGTGGGCCCAGCTGCATGTACACACACCCCGAGCCCAGCCAGCATGCATGCAATCTCGTCCAAGTCCTCAGCTGGTTTCCTTTCCACTCCAGTCACTGCACGTCGTGAACAGCAGTTTCAGAACCCGCATTGCCCGATGCCCATGCATTGCATGCCACCTTCTCCATGTATCATGCCCGTATGCTGTGAACGCCCGATGCACGGGCAACCCATGGGTCTCTCCCATGCCCACCACCGCCCTCCTCCGTGCGTTCTTGCTTTCCAGTCACTGCCCCCTTCACCTCGGTGAATGGTGAGTATTACCGGAATGCTCGTGCCATGCTTTTCATGCGGACGATGCCTGTAACCCGTGTGTGTCTGTGTGTGTGTGCCCATGCGTGTACCTGTGCATGTGCGTGTGCGTGTTCATGTGCATGTCCCTGTTCATGTGCATGTGCATGTGCATGTGCGTATCATGCACCACAGGACCCAGTCCATCATCATCAACCCCATCGCTGCTATCATCCTATCTCTCTACATGGGTCGCCTCTTAGCGAGGATAGAGCGCCGCTTCAACCCCGATGCACTCCCCTTCAGCGTCAAGGTAACGAGACGATTACATGCCAACCAATCTAGTGCAAGCGCACATGCTCAAAGAGGTGAGTTTTGAGTCGACTAGTCGCCTCGCTTCAACCCCGATGCTCTCCCCTTCAGTGTCAAGGTGATATATGCGTGCCCAGCTGGTGCAAGAGTTTGTGTCACGTTTGAGAATTCCAGAAGATTGCATGGGCGTGGGCTGTTGTGACGTGCCATGACATGACGATGATGCTGCAAGAGCCTGGCGTAGGTAGGTAGGTCCCTGAAAGGAGGTGCGGCTGCATGCATGGGCCAGTGCCAGTCGGTGTGGGCGGGCGGGCAGGTGGATTATGCATGGACGCGCACGCATGCACATGCAGTGCGATTGACTCTCAAATCGCACACATAAACATGCACATGCACATCCACATGCACATACACATGCACATACACATGCACATACACATGCAGATGCACATGCACATGCACATGCACATGCAGTAGTGCAGCTGTGGGATGAAGTGGTGTGCATGTACAAGGAAGGAAGGCATCACCAGGCTCCATCCAGGCAGCCTCCAAGCACCACACCAAAGTGCATTGCGCTTCAGCAGCATTATGTGTGACCTGCATGTGTGTGTGGGGGAGGGGAGAGGTGGGGGGGGAGGAGGGGGGAGGTGTGGGGGAGGTGGGGGGAGGTGGGGGGGAGGTGGGGGGGAGGGGGGGGGGAGGTGGTGGGGGGGAGGGGGGGGGGGAGATGGGGGGGAAAGGAGAGAGAAGATGCGGGGGGAGGGAGGGGGGGGGTGCGTGCGTGCGTGTGGGCATGCTGCATGATGCTGCTTCCCGTCCACTGCCCCCCACAGGAGCATGTGCTGATCGGCATTTTCGCCAACTGCGGTTCAGCCTTTGGCAACGGCAATGCGTATGCCATTGACATCGTGACCATCATGAAGCAATTCTACGACGTTGTGAGTGCCTCCTGCCCTCCTGCCCCCACGCCCTCCTGCCCCCACGCCCTCCTGCCCCCGCGCCCCCATTACCCCATACCTCCATTGCAACCCACCCCCATGTCTCTCTGCTTCCACCTCGCTTCTCTGCACTGCACCCTTCTGTGTGCATGTTCATGTGCCGCCACCCTTCTGTGTGCATGTTCATGTGCCGCCGCCCTTCTGTGTGCATGTTCATGTGCTGCCGCCCTTCTGTGTGCATGTTCATGTGCCGCCGCCCTTCTGTGTGCATGTTCATGTGCCGCCACCCTTCTGTGTGCATGTTCATGTGCCGCCACCCTTCTGTGTGCGTGTTCATGTGCCGCCAACCTTCTGTGTGCATGTTCATGTGCCGCCACCCTTCTGTGTGCATGTTCATGTGCCGCCGCCCTTCTGTGTGCATGTTCATGTGCCGCCGCCCTTCTGTGTGCATGTTCATGTGCTGCCGCCCTTCTGTGTGCATGTTCATGTGCTGCCGCCCTTCTGTGTGCATGTTCATGTGCCGCCGCCCTTCTGTGTGCATGTTCATGTGCCGCCACCCTTCTGTGTGCATGTTCATGTGCCGCCACCCTTCTGTGTGCATGTTCATGTGCCGCCGCCCTTCTGTGTGCATGTTCATGTGCCGCCGCCCTTCTGTGTGCATGTTCATGTGCTGCCGCCCTTCTGTGTGCATGTTCATGTGCCGCCACCCTTCTGTGTGCATGTTCATGTGCCGCCGCCCTTCTGTGTGCATGTTCATGTGCTGCCGCCCTTCTGTGTGCATGTTCATGTGCTGCCGCCCTTCTGTGTGCATGTTCATGTGCCGCCACCCTTCTGTGTGCATGTTCATGTGCCGCCACCCTTCTGTGTGCATGTTCATGTGCCGCCGCCCTTCTGTGTGCATGTTCATGTGCCGCCGCCCTTCTGTGTGCATGTTCATGTGCTGCCGCCCTTCTGTGTGCATGTTCATGTGCTGCCGCCCTTCTGTGTGCATGTTCATGTGCTGCCGCCCTTCTGTGTGCATGTTCATGTGCTGCCGCCCTTCTGTGTGCATGTTCATGTGCTGCCGCCCTTCTGTGTGCATGTTCATGTGCCGCCGCCCTTCTGTGTGCATGTTCATGTGCCGCCGCCCTTCTGTGTGCATGTTCATGTGCTGCCGCCCTTCTGTGTGCATGTTCATGTGCCGCCGCCCTTCTGTGTGCATGTTCATGTGCTGCCGCCCTTCTGTGTGCATGTTCATGTGCCGCCGCCCTTCTGTGTGCATGTTCATGTGCCGCCGCCCTTCTGTGTGCATGTTCATGTGCCGCCACCCTTCTGTGTGCATGTTCATGTGCTGCCGCCCTTCTGTGTGCATGTTCATGTGCTGCCGCCCTTCTGTGTGCATGTTCATGTGCTGCCGCCCTTCTGTGTGCATGTTCATGTGCTGCCGCCCTTCTGTGTGCATGTTCATGTGCTGCCGCCCTTCTGTGTGCATGTTCATGTGCCGCCCCCCTTCTGTGTGCATGTTCATGTGCTGCCGCCCTTCTGTGTGCATGTTCATGTGCTGCCGCCCTTCTGTGTGCATGTTCATGTGCTGCCGCCCTTCTGTGTGCATGTTCATGTGCCGCCGCCCTTCTGTGTGCATGTTCATGTGCTGCCGCCCTTCTGTGTGCATGTTCATGTGCTGCCGCCCTTCTGTGTGCATGTTCATGTGCCGCTGCCCTTCTGTGTGCATGTTCATGTGCCGCCGCCCTTCTGTGTGCATGTTCATGTGCCGCCACCCTTCTGTGTGCATGTTCATGTGCTGCCGCCCTTCTGTGTGCATGTTCATGTGCTGCCGCCCTTCTGTGTGCATGTTCATGTGCTGCCGCCCTTCTGTGTGCATGTTCATGTGCTGCCGCCCTTCTGTGTGCATGTTCATGTGCCGCCGCCCTTCTGTGTGCATGTTCATGTGCCGCCGCCCTTCTGTGTGCATGTTCATGTGCCGCCACCCTTCTGTGTGCATGTTCATGTGCCGCCGCCCTTCTGTGTGCATGTTCATGTGCTGCCGCCCTTCTGTGTGCATGTTCATGTGCTGCCGCCCTTCTGTGTGCATGTTCATGTGCTGCCGCCCTTCTGTTCGCATGTTCATGTGCTGCCGCCCTTCTGTGTGCATGTTCATGTGCTGCCGCCCTTCTGTGTGCATGTTCATGTGCTGCCGCCCTTCTGTGTGCATGTTCATGTGCTGCCGCCCTTCTGTGTGCATGTTCATGTGCTGCCGCCCTTCTGTGTGCATGTTCATGTGCCGCCGCCCTTCTGTGTGCATGTTCATGTGCCGCCGCCCTTCTGTGTGCATGTTCATGTGCTGCCGCCCTTCTGTGTGCATGTTCATGTGCTGCCGCCCTTCTGTGTGCATGTTCATGTGCTGCCGCCCTTCTGTGTGCATGTTCATGTGCTGCCGCCCTTCTGTGTGCATGTTCATGTGCTGCCGCCCTTCTGTGTGCATGTTCATGTGCCGCCACCCTTCTGTGTGCATGTTCATGTGCTGCCGCCCTTCTTTGTGCATGTTCATGTGCTGCCGCCCTTCTGTGTGCATGTTCATGTGCTGCCGCCCTTCTGTGTGCATGTTCATGTGCCGCCGCCCTTCTGTGTGCATGTTCATGTGCTGCCGCCCTTCTTTGTGCATGTTCATGTGCTGCCGCCCGTCTGTGTGCATGTTCATGTGCTGCCGCCCTTCTGTGTGCATGTTCATGTGCTGCCGCCCTTCTGTGTGCATGTTCATGTGCCGCCGCCCTTCTGTGTGCATGTTCATGTGCTGCCGCCCTTCTGTGTGCATGTTCATGTGCTGCCGCCCTTCTGTGTGCATGTTCATGTGCTGCCGCCCTTCTGTGTGCATGTTCATGTGCTGCCGCCCTTCTGTGTGCATGTTCATGTGCTGCCGCCCTTCTGTGTGCATGTTCATGTGCTGCCGCCCTTCTGTGTGCATGTTCATGTGCTGCCGCCCTTCTGTGTGCATGTTCATGTGCTGCCGCCCTTCTGTGTGCATGTTCATGTGCTGCCGCCCTTCTGTGTGCATGTTCATGTGCTGCCGCCCTTCTGTGTGCATGTTCATGTGCTGCCGCCCTTCTGTGTGCATGTTCATGTGCTGCCGCCCTTCTGTGTGCATGTTCATGTGCTGCCGCCCTTCTGTGTGCATGTTCATGTGCTGCCGCCCTTCTGTGTGCATGTTCATGTGCTGCTGCTCTTCTGTGTGCATGTTCATGTGCTGCCGCCCTTCTGTGTGCATGTTCATGTGCTGCCGCCCTTCTGTGTGCATGTTCATGTGCTGCCGCCCTTCTGTGTGCATGTTCATGTGCTGCCGCCCTTCTGTGTGCATGTTCATGTGCTGCCGCCCTTCTGTGTGCATGTTCATGTGCTGCCGCCCTTCTGTGTGCATGTTCATGTGCTGCCGCCCTTCTGTGTGCATGTTCATGTGCTGCCGCCCTTCTGTGTGCATGTTCATGTGCCGCCGCCCTTCTGTGTGCATGTTCATGTGCTGCCGCCCTTCTTTGTGCATGTTCATGTGCTGCCGCCCTTCTGTGTGCATGTTCATGTGCTGCCGCCCTTCTGTGTGCATGTTCATGTGCTGCCGCCCTTCTGTGTGCATGTTCATGTGCCGCCGCCCTTCTGTGTGCGTGTTCATGTGCTGCCGCCCTTCTGTGTGCATGTTCATGTGCTGCCGCCCTTCTGTGTGCATGTTCATGTGCTGCCGCCCTTCTCTGTGCATGTTCATGTGCTGCCGCCCTTCTGTGTGCATGTTCATGTGCTGCCGCCCTTCTGTGTGCATGTTCATGTGCTGCCGCCCTTCTGTGTGCATGTTCATGTGCTGCCGCCCTTCTGTGTGCATGTTCATGTGCTGCCGCCCTTCTGTGTGCATGTTCATGTGCTGCCGCCCTTCTGTGTGCATGTTCATGTGCTGCCGCCCTTCTGTGTGCATGTTCATGTGCTGCCGCCCTTCTGTGTGCATGTTCATGTGCTGCCGCCCTTCTGTGTGCATGTTCATGTGCTGCCGCCCTTCTGTGTGCATGTTCATGTGCTGCCGCCCTTCTGTGTGCATGTTCATGTGCTGCCGCCCTTCTGTGTGCATGTTCATGTGCTGCCGCCCTTCTGTGTGCATGTTCATGTGCTGCCGCCCTTCTGTGTGCATGTTCATGTGCTGCCGCCCTTCTGTGTGCATGTTCATGTGCTGCCGCCCTTCTGTGTGCATGTTCATGTGCTGCCGCCCTTCTGTGTGCATGTTCATGTGCTGCCGCCCTTCTGTGTGCATGTTCATGTGCTGCCACCCTTCTGTGTGCATGTTCATGTGCTGCCGCCCTTCTGTGTGCATGTTCATGTGCTGCCGCCCTTCTGTGTGCATGTTCATGTGCTGCCGCCCTTCTGTGTGCATGTTCATGTGCTGCCGCCCTTCTGTGTGCATGTTCATGTGCTGCCGCCCTTCTGTGTGCATGTTCATGTGCTGCCGCCCTTCTGTGTGCATGTTCATGTGCCGCCGCCCTTCTGTGTGCATGTTCATGTGCTGCCGCCCTTCTTTGTGCATGTTCATGTGCTGCCGCCCTTCTGTGTGCATGTTCATGTGCTGCCGCCCTTCTGTGTGCATGTTCATGTGCCGCCACCCTTCTGTGTGCATGTTCATGTGCCGCCGCCCTTCTGTGTGCATGTTCATGTGCTGCCGCCCTTCTGTGTGCATGTTCATGTGCTGCCGCCCTTCTGTGTGCATGTTCATGTGCTGCCGCCCTTCTGTGTGCATGTTCATGTGCTGCCGCCCTTCTGTGTGCATGTTCATGTGCCGCCACCCTTCTGTGTGCATGTTCATGTGCTGCCGCCCTTCTTTTTGCATGTTCATGTGCTGCCGCCCTTCTGTGTGCATGTTCATGTGCTGCCGCCCTTCTGTGTGCATGTTCATGTGCCGCCGCCCTTCTGTGTGCATGTTCATGTGCTGCCGCCCTTCTTTGTGCATGTTCATGTGCTGCCGCCCGTCTGTGTGCATGTTCATGTGCTGCCGCCCTTCTGTGTGCATGTTCATGTGCTGCCGCCCTTCTGTGTGCATGTTCATGTGCCGCCGCCCTTCTGTGTGCATGTTCATGTGCTGCCGCCCTTCTGTGTGCATGTTCATGTGCTGCCGCCCTTCTGTGTGCATGTTCATGTGCTGCCGCCCTTCTGTGTGCATGTTCATGTGCTGCCGCCCTTCTGTGTGCATGTTCATGTGCTGCCGCCCTTCTGTGTGCATGTTCATGTGCTGCCGCCCTTCTGTGTGCATGTTCATGTGCTGCCGCCCTTCTGTGTGCATGTTCATGTGCTGCCGCCCTTCTGTGTGCATGTTCATGTGCTGCCGCCCTTCTGTGTGCATGTTCATGTGCTGCCGCCCTTCTGTGTGCATGTTCATGTGCTGCTGCTCTTCTGTGTGCATGTTCATGTGCTGCCGCCCTTCTGTGTGCATGTTCATGTGCTGCCGCCCTTCTGTGTGCATGTTCATGTGCTGCCGCCCTTCTGTGTGCATGTTCATGTGCTGCCGCCCTTCTGTGTGCATGTTCATGTGCTGCCGCCCTTCTGTGTGCATGTTCATGTGCTGCCGCCCTTCTGTGTGCATGTTCATGTGCTGCCGCCCTTCTGTGTGCATGTTCATGTGCCGCCGCCCTTCTGTGTGCATGTTCATGTGCTGCCGCCCTTCTTTGTGCATGTTCATGTGCTGCCGCCCTTCTGTGTGCATGTTCATGTGCTGCCGCCCTTCTGTGTGCATGTTCATGTGCTGCCGCCCTTCTGTGTGCATGTTCATGTGCCGCCGCCCTTCTGTGTGCGTGTTCATGTGCTGCCGCCCTTCTGTGTGCATGTTCATGTGCTGCCGCCCTTCTGTGTGCATGTTCATGTGCTGCCGCCCTTCTCTGTGCATGTTCATGTGCTGCCGCCCTTCTGTGTGCATGTTCATGTGCTGCCGCCCTTCTGTGTGCATGTTCATGTGCTGCCGCCCCTCTGTGTGCATGTTCATGTGCTGCCGCCCTTCTGTGTGCATGTTCATGTGCTGCCGCCCTTCTGTGTGCATGTTCATGTGCTGCCGCCCTTCTGTGTGCATGTTCATGTGCTGCCGCCCTTCTGTGTGCATGTTCATGTGCTGCCGCCCTTCTGTGTGCATGTTCATGTGCTGCCGCCCTTCTGTGTGCATGTTCATGTGCTGCCGCCCTTCTGTGTGCATGTTCATGTGCTGCCGCCCTTCTGTGTGCATGTTCATGTGCTGCCGCCCTTCTGTGTGCATGTTCATGTGCTGCCGCCCTTCTGTGTGCATGTTCATGTGCTGCCGCCCTTCTGTGTGCATGTTCATGTGCTGCCGCCCTTCTGTGTGCATGTTCATGTGCTGCCGCCCTTCTGTGTGCATGTTCATGTGCTGCCGCCCTTCTGTGTGCATGTTCATGTGCTGCCACCCTTCTGTGTGCATGTTCATGTGCTGCCGCCCTTCTGTGTGCATGTTCATGTGCTGCCGCCCTTCTGTGTGCATGTTCATGTGCTGCCGCCCTTCTTTGTGCATGTTCATGTGCTGCCGCCCTTCTGTGTGCATGTTCATGTGCTGCCGCCCTTCTGTGTGCATGTTCATGTGCTGCTGCTCTTCTGTGTGCATGTTCATGTGCTGCCGCCCTTCTGCGTGCATGTTCATGTGCTGCCGCCCTTCTGTGTGCATGTTCATGTGCTGCCGCCCTTCTGTGTGCATGTTCATGTGCTGCCGCCCTTCTGTGTGCATGTTCATGTGCTGCCGCCCTTCTGTGTGCATGTTCATGTGTTGCCGCCCTTCTGTGTGCATGTTCATGTGCTGCCGCCCTTCTGTGTGCATGTTCATGTGCTGCCGCCCTTCTGTGTGCATGTTCATGTGCTGCCGCCCTTCTGTGTGCATGTTCATGTGCTGCCGCCCTTCTGTGTGCATGTTCATGTGCCGCCGCCCTTCTGTGTGCATGTTCATGTGCTGTCGCCCTTCTGTGTGCATGTTCATGTGCTGCCGCCCTTCTGTATGCATGTTCATGTGCCGCCGCCCTTCTGTGTGCATGTTCATGTGCTGCCGCCCTTCTGTGTGCATGTTCATGTGCTGCCGCCCTTCTGTGTGCATGTTCATGTGCTGCCGCCCTTCTGTGTGCATGTTCATGTGCTGCCGCCCTTCTGTGTGCATGTTCATGTGCTGCCGCCCTTCTGTGTGCATGTTCATGTGCTGCCGCCCTTCTGTGTGCATGTTCATGTGCTGCCGCCCTTCTGTGTGCATGTTCATGTGCTGCCGCCCTTCTGTGTGCATGTTCATGTGCTGCCGCCCTTCTGTGTGCATGTTCATGTGCTGCCGCCCTTCATGTTCTTCAATCCATTTCTTCCCGATTTTCTTAGCAACGGACCAACGGTAGTCATATACACTCTTCTTTCTTGCCCAATCAAAATCCTTCTCATTGCTGCCCTTCCAACCACGAGTGATCACGACGACTGCCCATCCCTTCCTTCCTCACATGCCTTCCCTCCAACTCCCTTCTACGTACTCCTCACTTTCCCAACTCGCCTTTCTCATCCCGCTTCATCTGCCCCCGTGACCGCTCTTTCTCTTCCCAACCTCCCGCCCTGCCCTCCTCTCTCTCTCTCTCTTCCACTCCCCCCCTCGCCCTTCCAGCATTTGGCCTTCTTCCCGGCCTTTCTGCTCGTCACCACAACGCAAGTGCTTGGATACGGGTGGGCGGGCATGTTCAGACGGTACCTCGTGGTGAGATTGGCGGGCCTGGGTACGATGGGCGGGCAGGGAAGTGGATGGGCGGGCAGGGAAGTGGATGGGCGGGCAGGGAAGTGGATGGGCGGGGCGGGCGTGCATACGGATGGGCATTCTCACTCTCTCAGCCACTCCTCTGCCTTCCCAGCCGCCCCATCATCTCATCATGCCCACCTCCTCTGTCGCTCCCACCCACCCACCCACCCACCGATAGTAGTCACTCATTTTCCCTCTCCTTTGAATCTTCACTCTTTGTTGCCCTTGCCCTTTCCCCACCTCGCCCGTCCCCATTACCGCATCTCTCATCACCGATGCAACCCACCCCCCCCCGCTCCCCCCACACCCCCCCGCTCCTCCCCCCCCTCCCTTTCTCAATCTCCACCCTTCCCCTGCCCCTCCTCTCCCACCATCGCCCCCGGCTGTGCCTCATTGCCCCGCGTCAGGAGCCACATGTGGTGACCCTCCGTCTATATCACTCACTACCAACGCCCCTCCTCCTCCCCCCTCCTCTCCTCTCCCTGTTTTCCACCCGCCCTTGCCCCTCCTCTCCCCCCATTGCCCCCCATCGGCCCCACTGCCCCTCATCAAGAGCCAGCCCACATGTGGTGGCCCACACACCTGGTCTACATCTGTCATTACCGAACCCTCCTCCCCACTCTTCCCCCCTCCTCCCCTCTTCCTACTCCCCACTCCTTTCCCCTCCTCCCCTTTCCCTGCTTCCCACCCTCCCTTGCCCGTCCCGTCTGTCCCCAAACCGTCCCCCACTGCCGCTCATCAGGAGCCGGCGCACATGTGGTGGCCACCAGACCTCGTCTACGTCTCCCATTACTCATGCCCTCTCTCTCCCCTGCTTCCCACCCTCCCCTCTCCTCCCTGCTTCCGACCCTCCCCTCTCCCCCCTGCTTCCCACCCTCCCCTCTGCCCCCTGCTTCCCACCCTCCCCTCTCCCCCCTGCTCCCCACCCTCCCCTCTCCCCCCTGCTTCCCACCCTCCCCTCTCCCCCCTGCTTCCCACCCTCCCCTCTCCCCCCTGCTTCCCACCCTCCCCTCTCCCCCCTGCTTCACACCCTCCCCTCTCCCCCCTGCTCCCCACCCTCCCCTCTCCCCCCTGCTTCCCACCCTCCCCTCTCCCCCCTGCTCCCCACCCTCCCCTCTCCCCCCTGCTTCCCACCCTCCCCTCTCCCCCCTGCTTCCCACCCTCCCCTCTCCCCCCTGCTTCCCACCCTCCCCTCTGCCCCCTGCTTCCCACCCTCCCCTCTCCCCCCTGCTTCCCACCCTCCCCTCTCGCCCCTGCTTCCCACCCTCCCCTCTCCCCCCTGCTTCCCACCCTCCCCTCTCGCCCCTGCTTCCCACCCTCCCCTCTCCCCCCTGCTTCCCACCCTCCCCTCTCGCCCCTGCTTCCCACCCTCCCCTCTCCCCCCTGCTTCCCACCCTCCCCTCTCGCCCCTGCTTCCCACCCTCCCCTCTCCCCCCCTCCCCTCTCGTCCCTGCTTCCCACCCTCCCCTCTCCCCCCCTCCCCTCTCCCCCCTGCTTCCCACCCTCCCCTCTTCCCCCTCTTAACTCATCATCCTCATGATTTCTCATCAGGAGCCGGCACACATGTGGTGGCCCACAGACCTTGTCTATGTCTCACTCTACCGGTACGTACGACTCCTTTCCACCACGCCCCCTCCTTCCACTTTCTCCCCTCGTTCTCCGTCGTTCGAAGCATCCTGGCATGAAGCATGAGTCTAGGTTCAGGCAAGCAAGCTCCTCCTTGATTTTTGAGTCGACTCAAAAGTCTTCTCCGTCGTTCGAAGCATCCTGGCATGAAGCATGAGTCTAGGTTCAGGCAAGCAAGCTCTCGTTTCCGTCCGCACCCTTCACCCGTCCCCCCCACACCTTCTTCCCTCTGATCCATGGGTATTAGCTCAATTGAAACTATTATTGAAGCGCGGCGCCTTTAAAATGGCACCCTTTTCCCCTTTTCCCCCATCTCCCCCCTTTTGATCCATGGATATGAGCCCTCTTGAGCCCTCTTGAGTCCTGAATCCAGCAATTCAGTGTCATACAATCACATGCCTCCCTAGGCCCACTGCCTCCCCATGCCCACTGCCTCCTCATGCCCACTGCCTCCCCATGCCCACTGCCTCCCCATGCCCACTGCCTCCCCATGCCCACTGCCTCCCCATGCCCACTGCCTCCCCATGCCCACTGCCTCCCCATGCCCACTGCCTCCCCATGCCCACGCCCATCTGCTTGCACAGACCCCTCTTTGGGTTCCTTAGACACCAAACCAACCATCCCCTCCCTCCCCTCCCCTCCCCTCAACTCCCCTCTCTTCTCCTCAGCCAGCTGCATCTTTCATCCCACGCAACGCCCTGCACGAGTGAGACACAACACATGAGTGAGACACAACGCACGAGTGAGACACAACGCACGAGTGAGACACAACGCACGAGTGAGACACAACGCACGAGTGAGACACAACAGATGAGTGCGCAGCATGCTGACACGCACGCTCTTCTTCCTCCTCGTCATCCCCCCACCACCTTTTGTAGCTCCACTCCAGGTGCCTCTACTCCACAACCTCACCCCACCCCCACCCCACCCCATTCCACCCCACCCCGCCCCATTCCACCCCACAACCCCCTCCTCCCCTCCCACCAGCACCCTCCTGCCCCACTCCTGCTGCTTTACGCAACTCCACAAACCACACCCCTCCCCCCCCTCCCCCTCTCCTTCCCTCCTCCTCCCTCCCCTCCCCTCCCCCCTTTCCCTCCCACCAGAACCCTCCATGAGTCAGACACGCCAGCGCGCGGCATGCTGACACGGGCGCATTTCTTCTTCCTCATCACAGCGCTCTCCTTCTGCTGGTACCTCGTGCCCGGCTACCTCATCCCCATCGTCTCCTGCCTCTCCTGGGTCTGCTGGGTCTGGCCCGCCTCCATCACCGCGCAGCAGCTCGGCTCAGGTGGGGGCTTTGTCTCCTTGCTTCTAGATCTGCCCATTTACTCCCCCCTCCCCCTTCCTCCCCTCTTCTGGGTCTGCTGGCTCTGGCCCTCCTCCATCACTGCACAGCAACTCGGCTCAGGTGGGTGCTTAGCCGTCGTTCCCCTTCGCCCAGCCTCCTTTCCCCCTCCCTCTCTTCCTCCCCCTACCCCTTTCCTCCCCTCTCCTGGGTCTGCTGGGTCCGGCCTTCCTCTATCACCGCACAGCAGCTCGGCTCAGGTGAATTCTTCGTCTCCCATTCTCCCCCTTCTCTCCCCATTCCTTCCCCCTCGCACTGGCTGGGTCTTACTTTCCTCTGTCACCGCACAGCAACTCGGCTCTGATGGGTGCTTCGTCTCCTGTCTCACCCTGCCCCACTCTCCCCTCCCCCCAGTCTCCCCCCTTCCCCCCATCTCTCTGCGGCGCTCTCGTTCTCCCTTCCTAGTGCCTGTTTTGCCCCTCTCTGCCCCTGAATCCCCTCATCACAACCCCCCCACCCCCCCCCCCCCCCTACATGCTTCCAGCCTCGTACCCCTCCTTTCTCCCCTCCTTACTCCCGTTTCTGCTCTCCCTGCCTCTGGTTTCTCCTCGCTCATCCTTTGCCTCCCCATCACACCATCCCCGCCCTCTGTTTCCCCCCCTCCTTATTCCCCAGGGCCAAGGGGCATGGGTCTGGGTGCAGCAGTCACCCTCGACTGGGCCACCATGGCCGCCTTCCTCTCCTCGCGCCTTGCCGCCCATTTCACCTCACATTTCCTCAGAGTATTTTGCCCCACAACATCTCCCCATCCATTTCACCCTGCCTTGCCAGGTCTGAGGAACATGGGTTGGGCGGCTGGGGCGTCATCACTCTTGTCTGAGACAGCATATTGACCAGCCTTCCTCCCCCCCCACCCTTTCTTCCGCCCCCAAGGTCTGAGGGGCATGGTACTTGGTGCAATCTCTCTTGACCAAGCTACCGTGTCCGCGTTACTACCATTCCCAATATCACTACTCTCCTTTTTCCTCGTTCTCCCCCTTCCTCCACCCCCTTCCAGGTCTTCTGATTGGCATGGGTCTCGGCGCCACAGCCTCGTTTTGGTTACCATGTCAACCTTCCTTCCCTCGCCCCTCGCCCCTCGCCGTATATGACATCACTCCTCACCCACTTCCTCTCTCTCTTCCCCTCCTTCTCTCTTCCCCTCCTTCTCTCTTCCCTCCCTTCCCTCGTTCCCCCAACCCAACAAGGTCTGAGAGGCATGGGCCTTGGCGCAAGGCAATCACGCTCGACTGGGCAACAATGTCGGCCTTTCTCTCCTCGCCCTCCCACTCCTAAGATCACTCCACACCCCCCTTTTTCTTTTTCCCCTCCCCTCCCCACCCAACCAGGTCTGAGGGGCATGGGTCTGGGTGCAATCACGCTCGACTGGGCAACAATGTCGGCCTTCCTCGCCTCGCCCCTCGCTGCGCCCTGGTTTGCCATCCTCAACGTTGGAATCGGCTTCGCCCTTTTCGTCTACGTCCTCATCCCCATCTGCTACTGGGGCAACGTTTTCGCCGCCACCCGCTTCCCCTTCCTCTCCTCTGGAACCTACCAGTGGTCGGGGGATCGATACCCGGTGCAGGCGATTATCACACCGGATTTCCGGCTGAACGAGACGATGTATACGGAGCAGAATCTGGCGCCGTATATATCGGTGTTCTTTGCGCTGTGCTACGGGCTGGGGTTTGCCGCGCTGACTGCGACGGTGGTGCACGTGGCGCTGTGGTATGGGCCGGAGATCTATCAACGGACGATGAGTGCTGGTAAGTGCGGATGGGTGCAGTGCGGTGGTGTGGTGTGGCGCTGTGGAATATACGGGTGGTATGGGTCGGAGATCTATCAGTGGACGATGAGTGCTGGCGGGTGAAGTGTTGGGTGGGTGGTGGTAGATCAGTTGGTGTCATGTCATGTATAAGATAGCACTGCTGTGGTATGGCCAGGAGATCTACCAGCAGATGATGAGCGCTGGTGGATGCAGGTGGATGTGGTGCGGTGGTGTGGTGGTGTGGTATGTATGGTGGTATGGAAGGTCGACCAATGCAAGGCAAGGTAACATACCTGATTGCACACATGTACAGGCACATACATGCTTTTCCTTTCACATGCACTTCACATGCACACTCACACACACTCACACACCACACACACACACTCTCACACACCACACACTAACACCACACACTCACACACCACACACACTCCTGTACACATGCATGTACTTGCTGTTCCAGAGCTTCTATCATGTGCGGTGCCAAATCACAATGCACTCCACCATCCTCCCCCTCCCTTTCAGCCAGAGGTAAAGCCTGGTGTGCACACATGTCTTATGCAACTGTGAGTCATCTCAAACCACACCCATCCCATTCGCATGGCCCCTACGTCCTGCCCTCTCAGCCACAGAGGCAAAGCCCGACGTGCACATGCGCCTGAGGGGTCTTCAAACAACTCACCCACTCACAGGATATCTCCCATTCTACCCCACGTTCCTCTCTCCATTCTCTCCATTCACAGGTGCCCTGGTGCTGGCTCCTGCTGCTCCTCATGCAGCTGTGAGACGCCTCAAAAGCCTCCTCCTTCCTCCCCCCCACCCCCCTCCTCCTCCTCCCCCCCACTACTCTGCAGCCATAGAGGCAAGACCTCGAGAGCAGCTGTCAGCCATCTCAACCTGTCAGATTCCCCCCCCTCTCCTTCCAATCCCTATCAGCCACGGAGGTGAAACCCGACGTGCACACGCGGCTCATGCAGCGCTACCCCAAGGTGCCCTGGTGGTGGTTCCTGCTGCTGCTCCTCGCCAACATCGCTGTCTGCATCGCCTTCCTCGAACTCAACGCCTACTTCCAGCTGCCCTGGTGGGGCCTGCTGCTCTCCGCCGCCCTCTCCCTCTTCTTCACCCTGCCCATCGGCATAGTCACCGCCACAACCAATCAGCAGCCGGGGCTCAATATAATCACGGAGATGATCTGGGGGTATATTCGCCCCGGGGAGCCGATAGGGAACGTGTGTTTCAAGACGTATGGGTACATTAGCATGACGCAGGCCATCGCCTTCTTGCAAGACTTCAAGCTCGGGCATTACATGAAGGTGGGCAAATTCCGGATTACTGTTGCAAACAGTATATATATATATATATATATATTTTTTCGTTCTTTCGGTTTCTATTTTTACATCTAAAACATTTGTTGAATGTTTGCAGATTCTCCCACTTCGCCACACACAGTTGCTCCATTTTCATTCACACTCTTCATCTGCCCTCGTTCTCACACACTGCATCTGCCCTTCGGAAGGGTTTTCGTGTGTGTGTATAGCTGCTGGTATCTTCGAAACAAATTCTTTCCCACTCTGCTCACTTTCTGTATGTGCATGTGCATGTGCATTCATGTGCATGTGCATATCCATGCATGCACACAGATCCCACCACAAGCCATGTTTGTGGTGCAGGTGTTCGCCACTATCTTGGCAGGCTTTGTCAATCTCGGCACGTCCTGGTGGCTTTACGACACCGTGGAGAATGGGCTCATCTGCAAGGTGGGAAGGAGCTGTTAAGGTGCGTTAGACGTCACTGCCCTGCGCGGCCCCGTGCCATGGTCCTTCTTAAGTGGCCATAAATGCCCATGTGGCTTTATGACACCGTGGAGAATGGGCTCATGTGCAAGGTGGGAGGGATTGGGATGGGAAGGAATGGGCTCATGTGCAAGGTGGGAAGGATTGGGATGGGAAGGAATGGGCTCATGTGCAAGGTGGGAAGGATTGGGATGGGAAGGAATGGGCTCATGTGCAAGGTGGGAAGGATTGGGATGGGAAGGAATGGGCTCATGTGGAAGGTGGGAGGGATTGGGATGGGAAGGAATGGGCTCATGTGCAAGGTGGGAAGGATTGGGATGGGAAGGAATGGGCTCATGTGCAAGGTGGGAAGGATTGGGATGGGAAGGAATGGGCTCATGTGCAAGGTGGGAAGGATTGGGATGGGAAGGAATGGGCTCATGTGGAAGGTGGGAGGGATTGGGATGGGAAGGAATGGGCTCATGTGCAAGGTGGGAAGGATTGGGATGGGAAGGAATGGGCTCATGTGCAAGGTGGGAAGGATTGGGATGGGAAGGAATGGGCTCATGTGCAAGGTGGGAAGGATTGGGATGGGAAGGAATGGGCTCATGTGCAAGGTGGAAAGGATTGGGATGGGAAGGAATGGGCTCATGTGCAAGGTGGGAAGGAAGAACGAACTTTCTTGCCTTCTCCCTCTCTTTGTCCCCCTTTAGTCAACTCATAAGTCCTGGTGTCTCTACGACACCTTTTGAGACGCGTCAAAAGACATCTCATAAGTTCTGACTTCTCCATGACACCGTGGAGAATGGGCTCATCTGCAAGGTGGGATGGGAAGGCAACAACGTATCAGGCGCCTCAAAACAGTCCTGTCTTGTTTTGAGGCGCCTCAGAAGCTGTGGACGAATTGCAGGGTATGATACAGTGGCTCGGCAACATGATCAAGAATGGGCTCGTTGCAAGGTGGAAAAAGAGGAACTTCCTTGCCTTTCTCCACCTTTGCTTGCCATGCCACATCCCGTGCACTCTCTACCACCCTCTCTTCCAATCAATCTTCTACTCAACGTCCTTTATCTGGGGACACATCAGCCTCGAACGCATGTTGTGTTCCTTGTCGCGCCTTAGTACCCATGTCTCACTGACCAATTTCCATCTGCATGGAATTCCTTCCTTTCCCTCCACTCCCCCTTTCCGCTCCTACTCCCGCGTCCCCGTGCTCCCATCCCCACTCGCCTCCCCTGAATCAGATCAATGACGAGAACTTCCCGGAGAATTCCCCATGGACGTGCCCGACAGCCAACGTGTTTTACTCCGCTTCAATCATCTGGGGGCTGATCGGCCCCGAGCGCATGTTTGGCCCCACAGCTTTCTACAACAACCTCAACTGGTGGTTCCTTGGAGGGGCGCTCGCTCCCATCCCCTTCTGGGCCGCGCACAAGATGTGGCCGCGCCAGGTGGTAAGTTGGTAGAGACACGTTGTGAGATCATGCAGACAGATGGTGAGTGAGATGATGCAAAAGATGGTGGGATGGTGCAGGCACATGTTGACTCCATGCAGATGGAGGGTGAGTCAACGCAGACAGATGGTGAGTTGTTCAAAAAAGTTGGTGGGCTGGCAGAGGCAGCCAGTGGGTTGGCAAAATCGGTTGGTGGTTCTGTGGGGAACCCTGTCACAGATCTTATTTAGAGCTGGAGCTTGATGATGGCTTGGCATCGGCAGGTGGTGGGATGTTGGGGACAGAGGTTGAGTGAGTTGACGACACAGGTGGCAGTTGCGGATATTTCACCGTGACGTATTGACAGTGGCTCTGTGGCCGTTTTTTAAGTTTTGAAAATCAGAACATGTGTTTGGCCGTGGCTACATACCATGCTAATCACCTCCTTCATTTTGATGGCTGTCTCACTCCCATGTCGCTTGCAGTGGTTGACCAAGGTGCATATCCCAGTGATGCTCACAGGCGTGGGCATGATGCCGCCGGCTTCACCCATCAACTACCTGGGCTGGCTCACCATGGGCTTTATCTTCAACAAGCTCATCTTCACTTACCGAAAGGTGCGGTATGGTAGCACGCTTCTGATTGGTCTGCTTTCCAGCAATAACATTCCAAGTATATTCTCATGACAGCTTGATTCATTTACCATCATTCACAGGGAGAGGAATACAGTATGCGTTTTGCCTGTATCTGACCCTTGCGTCTGCGGCTCCTCCTTTTCGTACCTTTCCAGGATTGGTGGCGTCGCTACAACTACGTGCTGTCAGCAGCACTTGATTCTGGAGTCATGTTCATGGCACTTTTCATATTTTTTGGGGTTCAGGTTGAAACCCCTTCAGTTTCCCTCTCCTGGTGGGGTGCTGGTGTAACATCTTCTGATAACTGTCCGCTGGCTATGTGCGCAACTGATCCCACAGCAGTTACATCAGTAAATTCTGCATGTCCAAACTATGTTGGTAGCTGATACCGGTACTCTTTATACCGTACGATTTGTCTGCCTTTATCTCATTTAAATCGATCGGATCGGATCGGACTCTAAAATACCGTAATAATACCTTCATACAATCCCAATCCTGAGAGGCATCTCTGCTCTGGCATGGATGTGCCTGCTGAAACATTGACTCGTGTGATTCAATGAAAACATTTCAGACTGCCAAACATGACCCCCACTGTCTGGGATTACTACTGAACAACGGCCATCCATCAGGTTTTCTATGTGTCCATTTAATTGTTGGTAGTCATCATCTCCCAAGCATCGAACGAAATCACTTCTATAGCTGGTCCAGAGTTGAATAAATATATACTGTTTGATTTCCCGGTTGTTGGGTATGCTCTTGCTGTTATGACAGACTTTCCTCCTTGGGCAAAGGACTCCACAATTGAGTTGTCCACCTGAAGTGAAAAAAAAAAATTATATATATATATATATATATATATATATATATGGGAAAATGAAGATGCTGGTTGAAGAAAGTATCTCCGCTCGCTTACTTACCAAAACTCTAAGCATGAGCCTATCCTCAGATTTCTGCAGCAGAAGCTGACTCCCATATATACTCTTCTCCGCCGTTACTGACAATGAAGACCTGTACGCATAATGAGTCAGGCTAAGCAAGGCAGGTTCAGAAATAATCTTTCTCACCTTCTTTGGTCACTGCAGAATCGAACTTGCCATTGACCCAAAGGTCCACCACTGGCGAGCTCGAAATAGATAGATGTTCTTTCTTCCAAATTTGCTGAGGCAAGAACATGGACCCCAAATCGGCCAGCAACTTTTGAAACAGAATTTTCATCCCAACCACAGTCACTGTCAAGAGGGCGGTACTCCGTCGTGATGCTGGGAATGGCAAATACTATCGCCATATCCACCTGCAGTCAGGAATTGTTAATAATCGAACGAACACTCCGTGGAAAGCCTTCAAAGCGTTCCATTACCTGCATGCTTGTAAGGCCGTTGACAAGCTTGTTCATCCCCTCCTTTAGTGTGAGGCCAGCATCATGTAAGTGTCTTCCTCGCAAAAGATTTAACTCCGCTACAGGCTCCATCAACAAGTGCTTTCCTGTTGACCTGTCCAAACTGACAACACGTGGAATAGCTTGGACTGAAGCCCAACCTTTAGATATGTCGTCATTTTGTGAATCGGACTCATTCACCCATCCCCATAAGATACGGCGGTGCGTGGACGGGTCATAAAAGGTCTTTGATGCATAGAACTTCCCATAGTCGTATCGCAGCCCATTTTGGACATCGATTTGCGGATCCACTGGAACCCAAGTTTCATTTGATTGGCTGTAGGTTCCAATGGCATAGTAATCAAGAAAATCGTAATCAAAGGATGCCTTTAGAACGTGACGGCAAACGTCATCTTCAGAGCACGTATCCAGTCCAGCATTGCCATTCGTAGAAACAGGATATAAATCAGGACACTGCATGAGAAGGAGCTCGTTAAATTAATAGATAAACAAGAAACCCGCACATCATACTGGGACCCAAAACCCTTACCTCCCACATTCCAGCTCGTCCTGGCGCCGTCCTAACCGTTTGAGGAATCTTCGACCAGTTAGTGAAGTCCTTGCTCTTGTACATAAACACGCAATCGGTCCCATTTTGCCTTGACCCAACAATCATTCGCCACACTCCGTCACTTCCCTTCCATGCGGATGGGTCTCTGAAATCAAATTTGCTAACTCCAGGAGGTGGAACGGCTATGGGATTGTAAGGGCTTTTCACCCATGTTGTGAGGTAAGGATCAGATGCGTTTTCTGGAAAAGCCAGGTTTTGTAGCTGCACATTATCTTTGCTGCTTCCGGTGTACAGGATAGCAGGAGTTCCGTCACTAAGAACCACAGCGGAACCCGACCATGCACCCATTACGTCATACCACTTGTCAGGACTGATGGCCACTGGCAAGTGGGTCCACTGCCAGCAGGAGCATGTCAGTCAAGGACGACATAGCATGTATAAAACATGTTGAACCTGCTTCATACCTGGATCAAGTTGCTTGAAACTGCATGACCCCAGCTTATGTTACCCCAAACTGCTCCAAAAGGATTGTACTGGTAGAATAAATGATAGTAGCCCTTGTAGTACATTGGCCCTGAATGAAGACATAATAGTAAGAAACTGACACGCCGACATAGGTCCCAATAAAGCAGCGCTCACCATTCGGATCTGCAAAGGGAAAACGGGGGTTCAGTCATCAAGGACACAATGAGATGTTTACTACATAGTCACTGATTTTACCCACTGATATATACTGACCATTCATCCAGTTCCCTTCCGGTTGAAAATGGAACGCTGTCCGTCTGTTAGGTATGCTGAGCTTAGGTGATTCATCTCTTGCTGAATGATAGAAGTTGATAAATCCACCTACGCAGCCTGCGGAAAATGCGATAAAAAGCAGGAAAAATGTGCAGCACTTATGTAGGCGTTCCTTTCTTTCTGAGTGAAGTAGTGGATGGCGAAGCTCTGGGAGGCTTGCCATTTGGTGAAAGCTGTCGGAAACAGCTCACAGACTGAGGTAGCTGACAGGCAGTCCTTGGTCTGACGGCTGCTGCTGCTGATGAAGCTAGGTAAGGCTAAATATGAGTTAGCAAGTGCGGGTGAAAGGCAGAAGCAGTACCAATATAGTCGGCGATAGTCGATATTGGCGCAATCCGTTACGATACATGAGTCGCTATTGCAGCAACATCTATAATCGGCTCATGATTGAGGTTGTTGTGATCTAACAACACAAGCAAAATGTTTCCTAAATGGACATGACCAAATCACCGGTACGAAAAAAGTATCACGGTTCTGCTCAAAATATAAAGGAAAATCTGGGTACAAGTTTTCAGAACAAAAAGAGGTACGGGAATTAAATCTCTATGATAAAAACCAGGCATATTATGATGACATAACTCCAAGACTGTTGAATGTATTTTTTCACAAATGCAGAGGGCTTTTCATGTCTTCTAAGCACCAGAAATCCTTCATGTTATTGATATCTGTTACGAGTGCAATTGAGTGAACGAACGAGAATTGCACTATCGAAGCAAGCGTACAATGAGCGAAGGCATGAGCAAAGAATATATTGCGAAACTACAGTGGTAACGGTAATGGACTGTGGTTGTCGCGCGACGGGCCTGGGACTGAGGTTGGGAAAAAGTGTCGAAGCGGAGGCCCAGAGCGCGGGTTACCCGCCGAGCCGTGAGGTCGGGGTGCGACGTACGAAGGTGGCGGGCGGATTGTCGATGCGAGGATTGCGAGTGGTAACGGTGCTGACTGTGGTGCTACAGTGATGTATGCGTTGAGCAAGGATGCGAAGTAAGGAAAATGGATTTTCCTTACACTACCCCCCCCCTCTTAACGAGGTCCTCCTTACGAAAGTGCGTGTACATCCCTGAAATTTCGGCTGCGCAGATACTCGGTGAGGACGGGGTGGTTTTCGATTCTGTCCAGGGGAACCCAATTGTCTTCGGTGGATGTACGGTCCTTCCAGTGGAGTAAGAACTCGATCCTTCGGGCTCCTCGAGGGTCGCGAACTCTGTGACTCAGGATTTTTTCGAGGATGATGATTGGTTCAGTTGGTGGTCTTGTCATGCTAGCTGGGCGATTGCGTGGCAGTTGGCTCGTGGACGAGACGTAAGGGCGAAGCAGGCTGACGTGGAATGAGGGGCTGACGTACCAGTCAGCAGGGAGGAGGAGGTGGGCGGTGACGGGTATGAGCATGTGGCTTATGCGAAATGGCCCCCAGTATCGGGGGCGAAGTTTCGGGGTTATGGGCAGTCGGAGGTTCTGGGTGTCAAGTAAAACTAAGTCGTCGGGCTGGTAAGTGACAGGTCTGCGGTGGCGGTCGGCATTGCGTTTAGCGATGATGTTCGATTTTTTAATTGCGTCTGCTACCCGGGTCCGTGCTGCTTGTAATATTTCAGCGAACTATTGTGCTCGTGGTACTGGGTTGTCGGGATTCGGGGTCATGGGTACTGTCGGGTCTTGTCCGTAGTTTAGGTAAAATGGTGACTGTTGGGTCGTGGCGGATGGCGAGTTGTTGTACGCGAATTCGATTAGTGGCAGCTGCTGTTCCCACGTGGTCGGGTCGTCACACGTGGCCCTGATGAGCTGTTCCATGGTCTGATTTGTCCGTTCTGTCTGTCCGTCCGTTTTGGGGTGATATGATGAACTGAACTGCAGTCGCGTGCCGAACTGCTGCCACAGGTTCCGCCAGAAGTTGCTGGTGAATTTCGTGTCGCGGTCGCTGATGATCGCGGCTGGTATCCCGTGCAGTCGAACGACGGTGGAGATGAAGAGGCGTGCTATTTCTTCAGCTGTGATACATTTTTCGCAGGCTGCGAAATGTGCCATTTTCGTCAGTCGATCGACGACGACCAGGATCACGTCGTTTCCACTCGCCCCGGCCGGTAACCCCGTGACGAAGTCCATCGTCACCTGCTGCCAAGCACGCTCCGGGGGTGGCATCGGCTGCAACTGTCCCGCCGGCCGCTGTCGTGAAGATTTCATGAGCTGACAAGTGGGACACGATGCCACGTGTCGTTGTACGTCGGTCAACATTTCAGGCTACTAATAATACCGTTGCAGCTGCTGCCGTGTTTTTTCTACTCCAAAATGCCCCGAGGTAACTCTGTCAGAATCCCAACCACTAGACCATTGGGATAAAAGGGCTTGTTTCAGTAGCGGGTCAGTGCGCCCATAACCCCCCAGGCGAACGTGATGAGATAGAGGCGAGGAATGAGTGCACTATGAAATGAAACAAGTACAAGTACCAACCCTAATTGGGTTGTACCCCCTATGGGCTACCCCACTACAGCCTAAATATATGCATCAGTAATATAATCATCTGACACACCCCCATAGGCAAAGTGGGGGAGA